TTTCTATGTATGTAGATAACATGAAAAAAAAAGTTTAGAAAGCTAACTACAAGTTTGTGATATATATATATATATATATTTATTTTTTTTTTTTATTTATTTATATATTAAAATAGAACAATAAAATTTAGAAATTATACGATAATTAATTAAATATTTAATTGTATATATCTCGTAAATAAAACAATTATAGGCGGCCCTTTAAAATTCTCAATCATTTCTATTTACGTTTAGTCATCGTTTAGTATAACCAATAAAGGTAAGTGGGCAATAAATAAGGATAAGTTTAAAGGGTCTTCTCTAGAGTAGGTACTTCCGAACACTCCTCTTTAGAATTCGATAATTTTATCAACGTTTCATTAGCATATCGAGTGTCCTGTACGTCGATTATATATACATATATACGATCAAAGTCTCGACAATTTCGTACAAACTCATTCCCTTTCGTACTTCTATTTTCTCTTTTTAGTAATTGTATTAAAAAGTGTAACGAACCGTAGCTCGCGTCGATAGTACAACAGGATTTCCAATACGGCACGTGCGTGTGTACATGTGAGTATTTGTGCGCAATCGACCGTTCTCAAATCGATTAATATTTGCGAGTTTAACGTGTACGAAACTTTCGAAATTATTTGTCTCTCGTGTCGCTTCTTTTCATGCATATATATATATTATATATATACATGACATGCATATATACATATTCTATGTATCTAAAATTTATATATCCAAAGATTCATACGTAGATACGTATTACGAAGATTAATTTCATGTATTTATAAAACGCGAGAGATTTGAATTAAATTCAATTGAATATATTCGATTATTATTATTATTATTATTATTTTTTTTTTCTTCTTGTTTCTTATCGAAGCTATGAGATAAAAATAATTAATTAAATATCTTTTGATATTCATCGTAATCATTTATCGAAACAAATTGTGATAATAATAAATCGTATTGATAAATCTTAAAATTCCTAGAAGGAACTATAAAACGTGTAAAGATAACAACTCCAAAGAAATTAATTTGCTTTAGAGATTTTGGACAGCCTGGCGCCAACTTAATCTTTTCATAGTATCGTTTCTAGTACTAACAAGTCAAGGCGTTTACGTTTCTCTCTAGTAGGTAGAGGAATAGCACATCGTATTATATATTAAAGTCCTTTACTTAGGTTGTTCGACCTCTCGACACCAAGGTATTGCTACGTTGGGTTACCCCGAAAGCAGAGAAGAGAGTTCAAGATATAGTCCGATGGAGTTTCCCATGGGACACCATTATCCTGATTTATAAGAGCTACAACGATTCTATTTTCTGCCTTCTCTGCAATCAGCCTCTTGTGTTGCTTCTACTACTGCCGTTCATCGTCACTCTTTCCTGTCTTTCCATTCATTTACATTTTTTTTTTATATTCTCTCTCTCTCTCTCTTTCCCTCATCCCTTACTTACCTTTCTTATGTATATGCGTCTCGAATGAAAATTCCTTTCGAGTTTGAATTTGAGCTGAAGAAAATCCATGTCTCGTTCACGACGAATGAAATGAGAACCATTGAAATTTTCTTTCCTTTCATTAGTTTTTTCTCTTTTCCTTTTCCTTTTTCAACATCTATGTAAGTAAATAAAAAAAAAAAAAAAAAAAAGAAAGAAAGAAAAAAGAAAAAAGAAAAGAAAGAAAGAAAGAACGTTGTTTACGAAATTATACCCCTCTCTTTAAAGGCACGCGCGACAAAGAGTAGACTACGAGAGAAGAATCTAAAAGATTCAGGAAGCGGCCTGCTCGTACTGCGTTAACGGGACAAAACCATTCTTTCCAATGTGGAATAATATAATACAAGAGAGAGAGAGAGAGAGAGAGAGAGAGAGAGAGAGAGAGAGAGAGAGAGAGAGAGAGAGAGAGAGAGAGAGAGAGAGAGAGAGAGAGAGAGAGAGTGAGAGAGAGTGAGAGAGAGAAAGAGAAGTTGTTTCTAACAAGGAAAAAAGGGAAAAAAAAAGAAAGAAAAAAAAAAAAGAAAAGAAGAAAAGATTCAGTTCAAATCGTTCTCGGTTTATTGTTTGCGGAAAACATCGATGCACATTACAGTGTGACGGCTATGTTTGCGACGGGTATTTGCGTGGGACTTTAGGATCAGCCACGTGGGATTATTATGGGGTAAAGGAGATTACGAATTGTGAGATAGTCTCTTTCTCTCTTTCCCCCCCTCTTCCTCTGTTAAATAGCTTGCAACTGTGCCGATGCTCGACCGCGAATAAAGACCACCCTCTCTTCTCTTTCTCTCTCTCTCTGTCTCCCCCCTCCCTTTTATATCCTACAACTCCCCCCTCCAACCTACTCAATCTCTCTTTCCTCTTTCCTCTTTCTCTATATCTTTGTCTCTATCTCTCTCTATCTCTCTCTATCTCTCTCTATCTCTCTCTATCTCTCTCTTTCTCTTTCTCGTTCAATTTTGTTCTCCCTTCTTCTTCTTCTTCTTCTTCTTCTCCTCCTCCTCCTCCTCCTCCT